GACTAAACCACTGCTCCACCACCACCTGTATACGAATGGCCTATCTTCTCTTCGACTCCGTTCTCAAAAGTCCACTCTTCCTTTTGTTTTTTATCCAAATGGGTAACCTAAATACAGCAACCAGAACCATCGCACAGAGGTGCATGAATAATGATTGCAAAAACTGGAAAAAAGCTCGCAAGTTTTGAGAAAAGCGTGAAATGAATTTTTCACTCAGCATTCTTCGTGCTGTGAACACATATTCAAAGTTGAATACCGCACAGTGCCTTTGCACAATTTATATCTTTATAAATTTCGCTGCATCGCATTAGATGCATGCAACGGATTATATGGAATATAATAAAATCTAGACCGATGAGTTGACCATAGACCATGTTTCTGATAAGGTGAACAGTTCTGTTTAAATTAGGCTTCCATCGTTATGTTGCTACCGCTTCAGCTAACTGCAGTGTACGTGAAAAGCATAATCATAGTAAAAGCAGTTCGTTCAAAATGGTGCCTTGTTTCTAGCAGGTAGCGTGCGATGGAAGAGATCGATGGCCGTACAAATGATAAAATTTGATAAGTTGGTCGTGATTGATTAACTTATGTCCACCCACCGTGGGACATGTTCAGTTACTTCTGTTCAAGTTGGCGTTCAGTTGCTCTCGGTCAGGTGGCCAAGCAACCAAATGTTTTCGAGTGACAACTGAAGGAATACCTTAAACTTAGTTTAAATACTCGTGGGTTATTCTTTGGCGAAGAAAACCCCTCTGATCATATAAAATTCATTTGACCAGTGTTCAATGACCGGTAAGTCTGCATTAAAAGCAATATTTAGGATCGTTAAAACTCCTAAAGCGAATGAATAAAACTCGACCACAAGGCTAACGCATGATTATATCAACTCATACTAGGCTGAACCACGAGCAGAAAAACTTGATGATACAGATTGCTGAAACGTAATTAAAATCGTCAACCACTCACGAGAATTTGCCATCTTCAGAAGGCTTCTGGTTTATAATATTCCGCCCATCTGGGTCCATAATGCGTAACCCAATGTCCATTGCTCCACCGCGAACAACCTTGTACAAATGATTAAATTAATAGAAGAATACCTGGTAATAAACAACAAAGTCCATCAAAGGAGTATAGAAGTAGCAATTTTTGGAACCGGGTGGAATTATTATTGTCAGTGAAGCGTACTCGTCTGGCTGATTTTCATCCTGGGAACGGGGTGTTCGAGAAGGATCAACAGATTCATGATTGTGACGAAACTGATTGTATACATCAGGAGCCTGATCATGAAGTCCACCGTGAAACTGATTAAGGTTGGAATCAGGATGATGTCGGACAGCAGCCACTTGATCCCCCTCAAAACGAACACCAGCGGCGTTCGGCGGAGGCTGATGCACGGATTGCACAGGAGGATGTTGAAAAAATTGATCAGACATCTGCGGTGGTGGTACGTTGCCATGCATTGGTATATTTCCATCTAGTGGGGGGATCGGTGGTTGTCCCTGCGGTATGTGCGACAGCGGTGGTTGTGGTTGTCCGTGTGGTACTTGACTAGGATGGCCAGGTGGTACATGACTGGGATGTCCAGGCGGTATCTGATTGGGATGGCCGGGTGGTATCTGATTGAGATGACCAGGCGGTATTTGATTGGGATGCCCAGGTGGGATTTGATTGGAATGGCCAGGTGGGATCTGATTGGGGTGGCCAGGCGGTATTTGATTTGGGTGGCCAGGCGGCACTTGATTAGGGTGGGAAGGTATCTGGTTGTGATGGCCAGGAGGTATTTGATTTTGCTGATCATCTATTATTTGACCGGGTTGCATTTGATTTGGCTGACCTTGAAAATTTCCCTGGAACTGAGGCACACTACCTTGCTGTGAGGATGGAGGAACTCCCTGCGGATGGTCGGCAGCAAAGTTTTGAGCTTGCATAACCGGCGGTGGGGGTTGATTGGCAAAATTCGTTTGGATGGGGGAAGGATTCGCTTGGTTAACAACTTGTGGGTTAGACCCATGTCCCATCGGTACCTGAACTGGTGCTCCACCTGTCTGTATATACATACTTGGATCCGGATTGTTAATGCCGACTCCTGGAACCGCCTGTTGGTGAATCTGTTGACTAGGTGGTGCGTTGGGTACATTAGATGCTGCAGCATGCAAAACATGAGGTTGGTTGGGGATATTTTGATTTTCCTGGTTAATTTTAGTACCTTCGGCTACTCTTGGATCATGTACAACCATGCTGGGTTGTCCCGGAGGATTACCAGCGGGTGCGGGATTATGGACGGGAGGGACCCCAACTCCATGAACATCTTGGCCGGAGATTTGGCCAAGAACAATTGATATTCCATAATCCTGTACTATTAAAAATCCAGCAATCAGTAAGATTAAATGGATATGTGGGAGAAAAGTCATTGAGAAAAGGTATGACGTCAATGAAACAGCGTTCACGACTCTCAAGGTCACCTGTCGAAATGGCGCTGTGCGGTTCCAGTTCACTTCAGTTCAGTCAGTCAAATTCAAATTTCAAATTCAAATCACAAGACGTAGAGAGGCTTTCGCCTGTTGAGTGTCCTGGTAATCGCGGGTTCCGTCTGTAGACCGACTCGCCTGCGAGTGTAAAGTGTCTTCCGATTCTCCACGAGGGAGTAATATCTGGAAGGTAGAAGGGAAAGGGGGACGGCGCAGTATCTATTATATGCATTCCATCAGTAAACTTAGGGGACCCTGATCCCTAGGGCAGTTCTGGAAATAAGAGGTACTACTCCTTGTCCAGCTCAAGCTTGAAAGCCTTCATGGTAGGACAGTCAGTCAGTTTGCACAGGACAGGAGATGGCCACGGCCAATCGAGCATCCAGAGTTCCTCCGGTAGTAAGCCACGTTCCGGCCCCTACTGCTGCGAGTATTACATATCGCAGTTCTACACGTTTTCTTCACGTCTCAGTTGTCTCCGTCTCTGCAAGAGAAGAGAAGGTAAAAACAAATCTCCCCTTGTTCAGGCGAGAGACCTCACGTTTGGAAGCGTTCCCCAGATGGGGGTGGTTAGTAAAAGAAAAACCCTACCCTGTTTCCAGGCCTCAAACTACGCGTCTATTTCCGGAAATATAGTCAACCAGCACTTATCGAGCTCCTTCTTGAAACCATACATGCTCCCTAGCTCTATCAGCTCCTGTGGCAACTTATTCCACGCGTTGACTACCCTGTAATCAGTTCAGTTCAGTCTCCAATAGACGAATATGGCTCTTGCTAATGGAGCGTCCAGTTCGTTGTTTTGTCGGCGGATGTGTAGCAATACTTCAACCGACAGTTTCGCAACGGCAGTTTTCTTTTCTTACCTCTTGTTTTCTCTATGCT